CTTTAGCTATGAATTCCCTGAAGAAAACAAATAAAAATTCTTTCAATACACCAAAAAAACAGTACCTTCTGTTAAAACAACAAGTTCAATGTTCATGCTTAACACCAAATTAATTTGTAAAAATGCAAAACTACTAAAATTTCATTCACAAAATGACAACATTTCCAAAAGTTAGTTAATTGTTATGGCCAAAAAGCGAAAAGATAGAGATCAAAAGTCTCTAGTCGTATAAATAATTGACATATCCATAAACATGATGGGGAAGAAAATTTTAAGAAAAAATAAGTATGGAAGGAAACTAAATAATTTTTAAAGTTGAAACGCGGGGAAAAGGGAAAAGAGAATAAAGAAGACATAGACAAAATTTTATGGTGCAAGAAACGTTTTTTCTATAATTTAACTTACCAGGAATCATCACTCTCTTGACTTGTGCATCATCATCACCTTCAGAAGTCATTTTCTTTTGGCATCTTCAACAGATATCATTTTCTTTATCATCTTTCTCCTTTTTACCATACATCTGAGAGCATTATCCCGTCCTCTTCCGCATCCTTTTATCTGCCTTTATCTTTTTCATCATCCTCATCCTCATCTTTCTGAAAGACGCCTTCACCTTTAAACTAACAAGTTTCTTTTTACCCCGCCGATGATTTTCTCTCTTTCTATCAGATCTGTTAAGAAAATATAGAATAAAATCAATTTCATTTTTAAAAATAATTATTATTAAATTTTAATCCTTTCTTGACAATAACAGTAATTATCTACCCATAATATTGAGAATTTATTTTTGGACTCTTGACTAAAGGTCCATATCACTAAATATCCTAATTGTTAGATTTACAGCTGTGCAAAACTATATTTTGACATTGATAATGGATGTTAGCAAACTGTAACAAATTGTGATTTGAATTCTTAAACAAGGCAAGGACCTAGCCTGTTATTTTATCCATCACATTGTCTATCATTAATATTACCGATTTACCGAATATTAAGACAACCCCTAATTCTGAAAAGGCCTCTGAAATTCCTTCCCTCTCGTTTCCTTTAACCAAATTCGAGTCAAAATGAATCACAAATTGTCGTTGATTAACTCGAAAATTGACTTGGACACAGTTAAGTCAATTTTTCTTATCCTTATAAAAAAATTAATTTATAATCCATTTTGTTACTACTATCTTCATCTTTAAATACTTGATAATTTACTTTTCATACTAGTCCCACCTACGCCAAACCGTAAAAAAAAAAAAAATTCTATAACAAGCACTATTACTTACTCTGAATAATCTTTGTTGGCGCTGGCACGCAGCAAGTACGTTTAGACGTGGCCTAATATTAGGCACCTTTTACCAGAATCTTAGGTTTTAGAAGAAAAAATTATTAAGCGTCTCGAAGCAAGTTCATCACGTTTAGTGATATCTTTAAATCCAAATGGGCACAATTCTTCAAAGACTTCACTATCATACCTAAAAACAAAAGAATTTTTTAAAGCAACAAAGTTCCATAGTAATATTAAACATTTAATAGAATTTAAATATAGATGAGTATTTATTGTGAATTAATCTCTCACAACAGAATATCAAAATAACAAAAAACAACCAACTCACTTCAAAGAAGTTTGTTGTTTCTCACAAACTGAAATTTTTTTTTTTTTCCCAGAAATTTTTTTCCTTATCAAAGTCAAATCCAGTTGGAATTTCCTAATTTTTCTTCAATAAAAGGCTCTCCCAGCTCTGTTTGAAAAGAAGCTTGACGTGAAGAGGTTTCAACGAGCTTGGTTTTGATCTCTGAATAAATCAAAAATACATAATCATAGTTTACTTATGTTGTATTATTCAGGAAATGAATACAGTAATTCCTGTAATGAACGTAACATTAATATTGTTCAAATCAAAACTTCCGGATCTGCAAGTAAGTGCACTAGTGCTTGTGCACAAAATGTAAAAACACACTTGCATGAGAAAAAGTGGTGCTCATACTCCAGTATTGTGTCAACATCTGATCATTAACAAGCTTCACTTGCTGCAATGCAGCAAAATGCTGCCCCAAGCCCAAAAGCAAGCATGAGTCTGTTGTGAGCACATCTATAATAAGACAGCAATTCAAAACATTGAAGTATTATTCAAACTAATCACAACATCTCTATGAAATATTATATTTTTAAGGTTCACCTGAATTTTGATTTTATGCAGGAATATCCCCAACAGGTACTACCACCTTCCTTCCGGAAATAATTTCCAAAGGAAGCAGAATTCTTTTGGCTCTGTTTTGTATTCTTCGCTAAACGATAACTTTCTTCCTTTCACGAGTTCCAGATAATTCAAAGTGGGTTTATCAAGAAGAGGCACTTAAGCACTAAAACCAAAAGAACTCTGTTTGAATGCAGCAATTATTCAAAAATACATTTTATCACCTGTTCTGTGAAAGAATAAATACCAATTTACCTGAAGTCTTTACACATTCAATGGAATGCAACTAGAAAGGTATTGAACCGTTCATCGATTTTTTTATTGAAGTATAAACAAGGCCATACATTTTTATCATCATGAACTGCAGGGGCATTTTAGGGACGGATTTCTGTTTACAGATTATACATATATATGTGTTAGGAACAATTTGATACAAAAATCGTTACAGGATAATGGAACTAAAAATATCTGAATCTCTTGACACAAATGGAATTGAGTCTGCCAAAAATTGTCAATACCCTTTTTCTGAACTTCATTCACTAGCGGCTACCATTTTATGCACAGCTGATTTCCTTCATTAAGCATCAATGCATAGAGTTATGTAATGGTTGATAACCTAGGAAACTATTGGATTCAGCATAGTAAGGAACCAACAATGCAAATCAAACAAGTGTAATGTTAGGACGATCAATGTAATTCTCAGAACTTTTAAAAATAGAACTTGTTGCTGAGTTGAAATCTCCATATTTAGACTTTTATATCATTAAATTTTGTCATTATTTAATTTGTATATTGTAGTAATAATGAAACAACGTGCCTGCATAAAGAGTGGTATAATTGCCACGAATTTATGTAAGAAACTAGCGAATGATAGGACAATTTTTCTTATAACCCTAGTGTCCCCTTATCCACCACGTTACCATTCAATATTTTCATTTCCACTAAGATCATTTTAATTTTGAGATATTTAATTCACATCTTTACCATTAGAGGTAGTATCTCTGATGATGTCATCTGGTTATGTTAAACAGGATCTATTTCATTAGACCTTGCTGTGTATATGTATGCATCACTGTCTTAAGAGAATAATTGTGATGTTGAATAATTACTTTGAAAATGGAAAATTGTGATGTATTCCGGTTGAAGTATTTACAATCTGACAAAAAGCCATGAAACTTTACTACGTCGAAAAGGGAAGCATTATGAGAGAACAACTTATACTTGTTTATTTTACCATGGCATGTAAGGGAAAATGTTGATATCAAGGATTATAACCAGGTTACTTGACTTTCCAAACAAAATTAGGAATTTTGCCCACAACTTCTCTCTCTGAGGCAGGCATGAGGTGAAGTAAACATTTTTGGTTATGTTTCATAACCATCTGGGTGTGTATTGTGTAAGGATGAATAATTAAAAGATATGCAATCATTTTCAGAGTTCTGATTGGCTGTTGTGGACTTGAATTGCACATATGCCATAAACACAGTAAATAATCAATGATTTTTTCATGGAAGTAATGAGCATATTTATGTTAACTAAAAGATAGATTTATTAAATTAATTTTTTCCTCTAATTTTGAACACTTCGTACCAAGAGCAAAATTCAGAATGGCAAAAACAAAATTTCAAACGAATTGGTAATTTGAATGTCATCAAAGAAATGCATATTACCTGCCATTTTTTTTAATTGATCAACTTTTCATATTTTCTTCAAGTTTCCTATCTGGAGTACGAATAATCTTTCTCTCATTAGTCTTCTCTTGCAATCTTGAATACATGTATTCAAAATACAAAAACATAGTACTCCAACCTATTTGGCATTATTGATGCATTTAATTTACTAAGCTGTAACTAAATGCTCAAATATCGTGAAAACTTCCCTATTAGACTATAAAATGTATGAGTTTGATGAATTGTTATTTGACTCTAACATAATCTATCAATAATTTTATTGTAGCCAGATTTTCGCAACGGATTGGAGGATAGCAGTAGAAAGTATAATAGTGAACAAAAAAAAAAAAAAAAAAAAAAAAAAAAAAGCTCGGAAATCTGCTATGGAAAAAGTGGAATTGATTAAACCAACAAATCCTACAACAGATGCTGTAAAGGGGTTAGTCTTGTATAGATACCTTGTATAATACTTTTATATAGTATGCGTAAGTACTAATACCAAAGAGTACCCCTTGCAATTTCTTGTCCTTACACCAATGTCATTAAATACCATATTACAGATAACCAGATATTGAGAAAGAAAATATAAATAAAGCACAAAAAACAAGGATTAAAAATTGAGAATGCTTTTGGTACCAAAAGAGCATTTCAAGACTTCCACCAAGTCAAAAGAGCATCTTATTTTATAATAGACAAACAGCTGTTCTACATAACACGTATGCATTGACTGGACGGAACCTTGAATTGCAACTTAAAATTGAGAACCCAAAAAAAAGTGCATCATGGCCAGAGGTTAGAAGTCAAAAAAACTACAAAGCTGATATAGTTTTATATTTTTCAATACTTTAAAAACGTGAAATGAATATTTTAATAAAAGAAAGCAGACTCCACTGCGCAAAAAATCTTATACATATTGAAAACTCTGACCCACCTGAATGTTACTCTTCCTGACAAATCTATCTAAAATTGGTGGTACATAGGTGGTATAAAATCAGTCATCATTAAATCTTTCATTACAATCTGTTGAATTAACTATTAATATTATTATGAATTATTTATTATTATTCCATATGACTAGCGTAGAAGTTCTATTAATAAAATTGACACTATGTGATTGTTTTGGACAAAGTATTGTAACACAACAGAGTGCAAACATAGTTCCTTGGAATCGCTGAGAATAGTATATATGAGAACCACACAAACTCTTTACACACCTCAATTTAAGCGCAATTACCATAGACGCAAATCTTCCAAAAAACGTATGATTAGGGTGTATTTGCGCTAATGCCATCATTATAGAAGCATTGGCTCAGTCTCAGAGAAGGGTATGAGATTTTATTAATCTAGTTAGTGGGTTGAAAGACAGCCTTGTGGTAAGTACGTCGTGAAGTTACATATGCTTCCCATAGAGAACCATTTTGTTTCCTTTATGTTTGTACTATTGGGCTGTATTATATAAAAAAACTTTTTACCCCCAAAAACCCCATTTATGTTGATGACTAGTAGAATGAAATAATCTAAGTTTACCAGTCAATCTGCCACCCCGACTCATAGCCCCCGCTATTTTGTATTTTGTATTTTTTTTCTGTGTAACAATAAGTGAAATTACTTATAAATAGGTCATAGGTATGGAATTCGCACACATTTTTCGAAAATTACAAAAGCTTGAAAATGATGTGGAATCTTTGTCAACTACATATTGAAGGCAGATTTTTTCTTAAAAGGAAATTATTCTCACAATTGGTGCTATAATAAAAGCTAATACTTTTTAACCTGCAAGTTTTTATACAATTTGAGTGAATAGATGCAAACTCCACTTTTGATTCTTTTAAGTTTTGTACAATTTTGACAGTTTATCAAAGTGCTTAATTGAACCTAACATCACTGTTAAACTAACCAGAATAAATTTATAATGAATAGGTGAAAATACAGTGCAAGCTTTTCTAAATAGCATGTTAATTTACTATTATCATTATTATTGTCTATGGAACAATTCATCTATCACCAAAAACTTCATTATGAAGAAACTTCTAATTAGCTGGAATAAAATCATCCATTTTCCATCAAATTGTGAAATGTATTGTGTGTCTAATTTTTCTCAATTTTATACCCATTCCATCTTTGATACATATATACAATTTAAATTTTATTTAGTATTGCAATTTAACCAAAATAACATTTTTAAGTTCAATGATTGTAAAAACCATGGTTAACTTCATTTATATTTATCATATTTAATGTGAAAAACGTTTCTAACTTAATTCATGAAAAATATTATATTAAAAATATGACAAGTGAAATACAAGTATTATACAGCAAAATTGATTTGACATATGTAGTACAAAAGTTTCTGAAAGACATAGTAAATATAAATTTACGTTAGCTTTTGATTCAGAGTCATTCATTTTTCCCCTTCTTTCATCCATATCAAAAAACCTCATAACCACAGAAATAAATCACATTTTTAACAAAAAATGGCCTTCTGGAACATGAATAAATAGTATAACTTGCATAGCGGATATTTATATACCAAAAAAACTAAAACCTGTTCCAAAATGCAAACTCAATAGCAGCTACTTTTAAGATGATCAGCCCTTTCCTTGCTACAACTATTGTCTAAGCTGAAAATTAAGTCAGCTTAATATATAACTACTCTACTAGCAATAATATCAGCCTATGCATAAAATATCGAGTACTCTACTGTGAATTCTTAATGAATCAATATGTTTAAAATCAAGATGATATTTCCCAAGATAAAAGAAAAAAGTTAAATTATTGTTCTTTTATGTACAAATATGTACTTTGTACTATAATTTTAGTGTGCTAATATATTATTAAAAGTTTTGATATTTTACCTAGAAATATTGATAATAAATAAAGAAATGTGTATATAATATGCTAACTTTTCAACATTTTACGAATGTTTGTTAGTTACTGTTATGTAAAAAAAGTTCATAGGCTTTCTTTTTATTAAGCAAATTTGTATGAAATAAATAAAGAGCAAAAAATTTGAAGTGGGTACTCTATTATTATTTTTTTAATTTAATTCATGTTATCAGACTTCGATAAAACTAAAAAAAAAATATTTCAAACAGAATATTAGCCATATTTTGTGGTTAATGCATCATATTTTCTTGATTCTGTATGTTATTATTCATGATTTTATGCATTAAGTTCTAAATGTACATTACTTCTCTCTGGAATAGAGCAATTTAATATGTGTTTTCTGAGAAATCGGACGGGAATGTCTCATTTGTTGCAGCAATATTTGTCCTATTTTCTTTTAGATATTACAGCACTGCGTACCCAAAAACAACTTGTCCAATTATGGCAATGATTATGATGATTTATCTTCGATAAGAATTTGCTTAGCAATTAGTGGTTTTCAACATATAGAAAAAATCATTATATCTTACTTCAAAAAATTTTCACTTTAATACTAAGTGAGACAAAAATTGCCAAAATAATTGTTAAAATAAAACTTTAGTGATTGGTCATGAATACCAAAAAACTTAATTGCTAAAGCATATTTCATTAGCTGTGGTGCGTTGTTACAAATGTTAGAGGCAATTACTCATTTGATCAGCATGACTTTCGAGCCTTAATAAGATATGAGTATTAAATTCTTCTGAGCACAGACATCTCTCACCTAAAATTTTAGTGGCACATTAAAAAAGAAATGCTGTACCCCTATGGAATTTCAGAAACTCTAAAAACTTTTCACACAAAATTAAAATGAGTGACACCATTGTTATTCTGAAAGAAAATTAATTTAAAAATACAAAGCCCCTAACGTAATTAAAACAAATGTGACAATTACCTCCCCAATAATAAATAAAAAATTATTTTCAATTAATTTATTACTTTTAATTCAACTTATTGTCAGAAGTATTTCTGCACCAAATTTTTCAATATTGCAATAGTTATGAATTACACTATGAAATGAGATTTTCAAGTGTCGTACCGCGTCATTGATCACTGCTTAACCAAACCAATGCCTCAGGTCTAAATGTTACACAATGTTCAGCACCAGAATCAATCACACCAAATTGTTAATTGCGTGTACTATAACTAGCCAGGACTTAAATATTTCTGCAGTAGTTTACATAAAAACTCAAATTCAATGGTTTACTAGAAACATACACTAAAAATTTAACTCATAAGAAAAATAACTGTTTGGTTGAATCTGCAAAGTTGCCTTTTTTATGTATTTAAAAAATGAAAAATATTGCCTTAATACGTATAATTCAAAATATAAAGATAAGAATGAGAATGAAATAGTGTAACGTAAAATAAACAAATTGACCAACTTGCAGTTTTCCCTAGCTGGACAAAACAGTCCACAAAATGATGGGAAACTATTCATAATTCTATGATTAACACAATTATAAAAAGCATCTACTTAGTATAGCGGACTTTTGCGAGCAATGCCTGATTTGGTTCAAAAGCCATTTCCTTTTATTTGAGCTAAAAAATTCATCTTGAACTTTTGACATGTTAACTTTACCAATTTTTAAAAACCTGCTTAAGTTAAGCATAAAAAAATGCTAAATGAATAAAATCCAAAACTTAATAAAGCCAATAAAAATGGGAAACACCTGCAAACATGAGTGGAACAACAGGAAATATTTTAAATGCTTCCAACATAGAAGAATTACAATTTTTCCAAATCAAAAATTCTCGAACATAATAACGCTTGAATAAATCATTCACAGGCATCCTTATTTCCAAACAATTATATATATATTATATTATATATAATATATAACAGGTACCCCATTTCCTGAAATAAATCCCCGACCTTTTCGCCCAGCATTTAAAAAAAAAAATATTCGCTGCGAAAGGTTAGTTTAGTAACTCACACTTTATAAAAAATATTAAAAAAGTGCAAAACTAGTTGCCAGTTCTCCGATTTTCATTGCGATAAAAGGACAAATAATTTTAAAAAAAATTCAAAACAAAGCGCAAGCAAAAAAAAATGGTTTCACATTTTTAGAATTAATTTTCAAATTATACAACCTTCCACAAATTCCCTGATCCCCCCCCCCCCCCGCAACATTCAAAGAGCAATGAAATTCCCATATTTTTTCATGTTTTTCTAGAAAGGGTACCACAAACTATGCTAAGTCTAAACAGAATAAAAAAATATTCAGAATTATTAACATAACATTAACAGACAATAAAAACCAGAAGAAAAACCTTTAAAATGACAATTAACAGCAATCATATTACCTTTTCCATCACTCTTTTCATCATCATCTTCATCGTTCATTCATCCTCCTCTTCTGACTTGCTGTCCTCATCGTTTTTACTTCCCTGCCTTCCCTTCTTTCGCAGATTTTGCGATTGGCCGCTTAGACTCCTTTTTCACATCCTTGCTTTTTAACTTCTTCTTCGAATCATTTATCTTTTTTCAAAAGATCTCTTCTTGAGGCATCGGCATGGTCGCTGGTTTAGGTCTCATGTCGCGATCATTAGAAGTTTCTTCGCCTAGAAATGTTGAAGAGTTATAATATTACACCAAAAAATTTTGTTTTCCTATCCATTAGGAACGTGAAGCCATGCTCTGCCGAAAGCGAGCACGTCCTTGTCATAGGTCAGAAGCTGCGAATGGCTGTAAGTAACCCGCATATAACAATACAAACCTCCGCGAACAAATTACTTCACCCCATTCTCCTACAAGTTAAACAGATATTCAATTCAAATATCAACGAAAAAAATAATTTTAGATTCCCGCGTTCCACAATAAACAACGCAGACACCACCTACGCCATCTGATACACGATCAACAAGACTTGCACGGTATTATTCTATCATTCTCCAGCTCTGGTATTTAATAAACGAACTCAACTTTTTTTGTCAGTATGTTTCTTCTACTAAAACTTAGTACTTGTGTACAAAACATTAAAATTGCGTACCTCCATATTCCCCATTTTCAGCATTTTTCTTGTCAGTCGACATCTCCAACACACGCCGCTTACGAACTCGGCTACTGATTCCCTTTTGCCAGTTAGCGGGCCTAGCCATCCGTTGCGTCTCCAAACAACCAATAGGGAAACAGATGTTCAATTCCCCGCGAATGATAGTCATTGGCTTACGTTAAAATCAATGGGAGAATAAAGTCCTTCCCACAATCTAACATTCATGTTATATCCGTCATACAAACTTTTTAAATCATCTTAAGCATTATCTTTGAATTATGATCTCCATCGTGCCGGAACACAAATTTTTATTAAACACAATTAATTTGTAATCAGTGTTGCGATTTATTCATTATCGAAGCTGCTGCGGTTTCCATTTCGCGTGCCAAACACCTAATAACGTGTTTTTTAATAAGTCAATTTGCAATAATTAAAAACGAAAAATCAGAGTGAGTTTTTTTGAACTGCCTAATACAAATTACACTTTTACTAGGAACCAAAGAGTTGAACTTTACGAACTTTTCTTAAAATGAAGTTTATCATCTTTTTCGATATCATTTTTTCGCATTCCAAAGAGAAAACTAATATGATATAAAGATCTGTAGCCTGAATTCAGGACTCGAGTGACTGAAACAAACTCAAATATAATTTAAAATAGAGAGAAAGAGTCGGACAAAGCTTGAAAATTCAATGCTATATTAAAAGAAAAAAGTTGGCATCACTAGTAAACTTGGAAAAAAATGTGTACCTAATGGGGATGTTCAGAATGACGTCACAACGTTTGGCGCAAAGTGAAGGATGGCAACCTCCGCTGGGTTCGGTAAAGCCGAGTCCAGAGAATTACCAAAAAGATAAAACAGTTTGTTTAACTGTTTTGTGCGGTTGCCGAAGTGTATGGATCATCAATTTTGTCATTTACAATAAAAAGTAGTTTCTTTCTTTCGATTTATTTAGCGTTGTTCGTTGAGAATTCGTCGACGAAAACTGGATTTAAAAAAGGCACTTTGATCAACGCACGTTAAGTTGCTAGCTTTTCCTTTTGAAAATAGTTCGCAGTTAATTTATTCATGACTTTTAGGGTGGCCTGCTTAAAGTGCTGCTGTGTAATAAAAATGAAAATGTATTGCGTTCCACATGCCCTTTCATCGGTTATGAAAAATGCCAACGAATTTCGAGCCCGTTCTATTTAACATATGAGTGAACTTCTACGTTTTTAAAACTGTGCGGGATTTTTTAAAATTATTTAGAAAATATGTGTATTCACCCAGAAGAAATATTACCCACATTAACTTTAATAAATCGATTAAAAATTCCAGAATGTTCCTACACATCCCAAAAATGTTCGTTAATTTTCACGGAATGAAGAACTTTTCCACAGCTAAGCTAATTAGAATTTAATATAAGTTATCCGATAAGTTTCAATCCGTTAATTGAATAAATATACGGTTATTAAAAAATATTAAATAAAGTATTGCAAATTTTGTATCATATTTTTAGAAAAAGAAAGCTGCTAATTCAAATTTTGATGGTTGAATTTCAATATTCACGACAGGGCAGTTTTAATGAATATTTGATGCCATTTCTTGCAATACAATTGAGACACGACTTGATAGACCTTGGTAGGCAATGAAAGCTGATTTGGTGACCTACCATTAATTATTTGGCGACCTTAACTTTTTTACACAAATAGTCTTCAAAAATCCACAAGGGGCTCATACAAATGTTTGATGTTTGTACACGATCAAACAATTCAAGTGAAGCCACAATTTAGTTTATTTAGGCTACCAACCTTTTTGTAACGTTTATTAATTTAAGGTCCTTTCAACACTGGTCATATTCGACCACGAGAATCAATTTATAATTTACACAATAATACACTTTCTTTTTACAGTTATGCATGTATACAATTAACATTACAATTCATACAAGCATTAAATGGTCAAAATGTATTAATATTGTGGCGACTACAAACTTGGAGAGGTACACATATTTATTTATTTACATTACAAACGTTTGATCATTAACCATGTTTGGAAGGATTATTGATATATAAGATTAGGTAAAGTAGGGTATTTATATTAGTATAAATTTGTGATGTTTTTAAAAGTTGTAAAGACTTTTATACATTCTTCTGAAGAGAGAGAAGGAATTATATGAGAGTCTTTTAAATTAAAAGTCTTATATGGGCTAGTTCAGGACACTCCAAATAATATGGGATATAGATACTAGGATCCACATTGAGAAAGGTACTGGGTCAGCTTTTGTTATTAGGTGAATGTGAGAGAATTTAAATGGCCAATACGTGAGTCTGGAATTTGGACTTTTTGGATCTAGTGAGCTGGAAGATTTGGAGGCGGGTTCAATAACGCGATTTACCTTACGAGATGAAGGTTGGGAAAAGGTAGTCAGCCATTTTGCATTCTTACGTTTCTTAAACCATATTTTTAATATATAGTTTAATCTATTACATCGTTTAATGGGTTGTATATTATGAAAAATGGGAAAAATTACGTTACATTTCACGGTGAAACTCTGAGAATGACAGGAAAAAGTTTAGATTGTGAATTGCGGAATTACGAGCATGGGCGTATAGTGCACTTACTATTAGTTTGAAATAACCTTCAAATCAGAGAAGGTCTACTTTTGCTCTGTCCGAGGGTGGGTATCATAATTTTATTATTTGTGATTGATTACAACTTTCTCATAACGCCCTACTTTCATAATGGCACTTTACTGTTTTTTCGGGCCTTTCGGTCGTGCGATGGAGGTCGCACCATATCCAGCATTGCTACACGATAAGCGGATTATGCCGAACATCTAGCGGCCGCGCTGAAATCCCATAGTCTTTGCAGCACACTTTCCGTGCACCGTATATACTCTCGCTTCCTTGCGCCGCGAGTGAATGTCGCCACACTTTCCTGCTGTTTGCCACCCCTATATTCTTTCGGACATTATGGCAAACCGGTAACAGTAAAATAAACAAGGTCAGGAAAGACAATAAGCCATTCGGCGCGATTTTAGCGTTTTTGTTTTGCCGCAAAAAACGCAAGTTTTGGCGTTGTTGTAACCTCACATTTTGGCGTCACATTTGCCATCATGCCGTGGTGAACTACTGGTTTCAGTTGTAAATGTTGTAAATGAGAGCTGAGTCACACATGTGCTTAGTGTTTTCCCGGTCTAAAGCTTTGGAAAGGTAAGTCTTTGGCTTTTAGGATAGTTAACTGAGTTCGCTTAGACCAATTTCTTAACGAATGAAATATAACGAATGGATTTAAAATTGTTTTTTGTCTGCTTGTAATTTTTGAACGATCAGCAGAACGGGTTTAGGTTTGCCGAATTTTCAAATGGCGATCGGTTATGTAATGAGCCCCGATCTGTAACGGGCTTCGTATTACAACAACTACAACTTAAATTCGTTACTATTTTTCGTTATTAGATGCAACGAAAGTTTCGATGTCAAAACAAAAAGGAAATTAGTGATGCTACAGATGCACAGACGTTTCTACTAGTTAGGTATTAATTTCTTTGGTTTTGTTTGGTTCTTTGATGTAGCGTCTTCTTTCTTAGCTTTTCGATCATGCCCAATCCTCTTGCCAGCTGCCACCTATCGTCGCCCAAACATATTTTTTTTTTTCAAATTGCGCAATTTTTCGTTATCTAATGCAGAACTAAAAAATTACTTAAAAGAATATTTTGAAGAGTAAAACCTTCGTCCTATATGAAATTTCTGTAGAAAAATTTCTATCCAAAAAACTGGCTCAATTTTTTCTTCAAACGTTTTACGAATAAATTCAAATCACTGTTTATTATGACGCAATTAAATTTTGCTGTATTCTTTTGTTTTCTTCAAAAATAAGCAAATGTATTTTTTTAGTATCTCCAGCTCCGATTGAATATGCACATTTACGGCGAATTTGTGTACATTGTTGTCATTTGTGAGTGGCTGTGCCTTCAAACGCCTTCAATAAAGTTTTTCGAAATCTTTAATAGTTTTCTGTGAAAAAGGTCTTCAACTTTCCATTTACAGTAACGCTTAAAACCCATTTTCTCAAAAACGGCGTCCAATTTGTTTCCTCTACTTTTCGAACGGATACTGCTAATTGCACTCATTATTATGACAAAGTTAATTTCGGGGTATAATTTGTTTTTCGAAAATTACACAATTTTTAAAGAGATTTCTCAAGCTGTATATGCACATTTCACTTTTTACTTATCTTCACGTTAATATTTACAATAGCGGCAATTATTCTCATTTATATTTAGGTGTACTATGACTTTAAATAATATTCATATTAAAGCTTCTCGAAAATTAAACGTTTTCTGTCGAAAAACTAGTGTCAAAAATTTTGCTTTTTCGGAAAATCTGAAACGCTATTTTGTCAAAAAAGTCTTTCAAACTTTTCCGGAAGGATATTTACCATGAACGTTTAATATGATGAAAAAGGTTCAATTCGAAAGTATTTTTATAGTTGTTTTTTTTAAATTACACAAAATTTAATTTCTTTGAAAGATCACTCCATGCTTAACTTAATATATCATTTCCAGCAATTTGAAAATACTAATGTATTTATTATTAAAGTGCCTCAAACAATTTTATGTGAAAACGGCTTACATTTCGATATTACTGTAGCGCTTTATGCGCCATTTTCTTAAATACGTCTTCAAATTGTTCAAGAAAATTCCATTTAGGACAGGTGTTACTGAGGATCGTCATCTTGTTCTCAACTTATCTAATTAATAAACATTCAATTAATAATCGATGAAATAATTAACAAAATTGAAAAACGTGTATATCATTGTAGCCAATTTAAAGTAAATCATCAATATTTTATGTTTATAATAGGCGCTCAAATTTGTCCTGCTCCGCCCTCTCTCTCTCTCTCCCCTCTGTGTGTGTGTGTGTTTCTCTCTCAATCTCTGACTGGAACTCTTTCTCACTCAGCCTGTCTCTCTTTCATCGCTCTCGGCATGCCTCACTATATCTCGTTTGTGTATTTTGCCTAGAGACGGACAGCGACGCGCATAAGAGATAGATTTAGATAGACGGAGACAGAGACGCGCGTGAGACCAGAGATGCATTACAGAGAAGA